AAAAAAAAGCAACACTGAAACACAAACTTTTCCTGTCAATATAAAAATGAATGATTGATCAAAAGTTAAAAGATAGAAATCTCAACACAACATTCCCTTATTAAATATTGTAGCCTGCAGTGATCCAGTCACTTCAAACTGACTGCTGCTTCCTGCTGGCAGCATTCCCAGCACCTAATGTGCGTCCAAGCTCAATGTCAGTGGAGACATAAAAAAAACAATAACAATGGATTACTTTGACATATTCAGGTTGATGAGGGAAACAAACCGTTTTTCACCATCCAAAGTTTTCGTCTGCTTCCATGTCTGTGACCTCCTCCTCCTCCAGCAGCCCACTGAACAAAGTCAATGGTGGGCGGGACCACGGCGCTCAGTTTTCAGCCCTTTCCGAATGTCACAGCGATGATCTTGAGCTCCCATTGGCTCCTGTCTGCAAACACGTCACAATCATGATTAGAATTGATGATCGGACGTTCTGATTTCATTGTCTAGCAAAGGGGACTGCTGAAGAAATCTGCTGAATTGGAACGCTCGTCTGATTTTGACATCAAAAATGGTAAGCAGGAAAGTGACTTCACTTTGCAAAGCTTCGGGGGCGACCCGGATCGCTTCCGCTCGTGTCCGCCGGGAGCCAGGGTCAGCGAGAATGACCGCGCCAGGGTCGAGAAATCACAGATTTGAAAGGAAAAGTTTAGCTGCAGCTATCCATTGGGAGAGCTAATGCTAATGCGAGCTAGCGTTGTGGCTGGCTCCGATATGGCCGCTCGGGCCTGCAAGCTAACGCCAAGCTGTCTGCATGGCCATTGTGGTGATGCGGCGCGTACCCGGTTTGTTTACTGTCTGGCTCGCCGTCGTGAAGTTCTGGCAGGAGTTTCCCGTGTTGTTAAAGTGTTTGTGGATCCCCGGGCTGTCGCCTCGGTGGCGTACTAACCTGACGTGCTCACAATTTGGTCGCTAATTCTCTCCGTAATGTTTCCATATTGACTGTAGCCATGCGCAGTCAGCCTGCCAAAATAAAGCTGCTGGATGCTTATTGGTCGCACAACATTCCCGTATGTGACATTTTCTGTGTTTATCAAAAGCCTCCCAACAACTGGAACAGCAGCTGTGTTTTAGTCAGCAGAGTTTTTTTCATCTCTCTGTGTTTGGACTTTAATAACCGGGCTGCTCCTTCCTTTTGCTCCTTCCTTTTGCTCCCTCCTTTTGCTCCCTCCTTTCTCCCCCCGCTCCCTCTCAGTATACAAACATGATGCAGATCTTGCTTCGAAACTTCAAAATTCATATTCATAACGCCCGACCCCTCATTCATTTCTATTTCTATTTGTGTGGCAAAGATAAAAGTGAGCTGTGTCCACAAAAGCAAGTTATTCAACTTCGACTGTCACTGTTTCTTATTATTTTCAAGGCATGTTAAAAACTAAATGTTCATTAACAATTAAAGTTTGGAGCTGAATTTTCTTTCTTTTCTTTTCTTTTCTTTTTACTTGACCTGGTGTTTTATTTTTTTTCTCCAAAAAGTCAGATACTATGTGAACTATTAGACTGTAATAAGACAGAAGACAGACAGAAGTCTTTATTACTGGTGCAGTACAGCCTTTTGAGATGAAGAAATGTTCAGAAACAGAGTACATTTCTAAATTAACTAAGAAAATCTGTAATATTACATTTTTGTAATTTGATTACTGAGATAAAAAGTAATTAAATTCACATTTGTTTTATTTGCACGACCATCGTTAAATGCAGAATTTCCAAAAGCATTTACAATGTATGTATAATATTTAAATGTAAATTTAATGTAAACCAAAAAAAATATAGTTATTCTCTTTAACCTAATCATCCACCATGATCTGTTCGCAAGCTCTAATTTGTAGTGAATAGTCCGTACTACATCATATGCAACCTTTTCCTGCCAAAACGAAGTCTAATCACTGATAAAAAGTTAAATATAGAAATAGGAACACAACGCTCACTGTCTGATGAAACCTAAACAGGTTGTTGCGCTGCAGTGCAACAGTGTATTTAAACAGCTTTTTCCTGTTTGCAACATTTCCAGCACCTATTGGGTATTAACACACAGTTATAGTGGGAAACTAAACTAAAAACTCTTAAGATATAATTTGTAATTAATACTAATTTTAACTCTTTAATGCAAAAATGTCAATGGTTTTCAGTTGATAAATAGAGCAACTTCTTGCTAGGGACAACATTCGCTTGATTGATAGTGTTTTTGATGTTACACAGTGGCTTGTCATAGCTTATTATGCTTTGACTGACAGCATGGCGTATATTTTACAGCGTCACGTTGCTTGATCTAATTTTTTCAAACTGTTTTAACATATTATATGTGTTGACTGGCTGTCTACATGAAATGATGAAACTCATTGTTCCAGTTCTCAATCTTGAGCCAGAGAAGATTGCTAGTCTCTTGTTCTATTTTTAGACCAGAAGTGTGCTCGTAATGACATGGGATTGAGCTTTTTATTTACACGTTTTCTGCTTTTTCTCTCTCCTCAGCCACATTACCCAGCAGTGTGCCAGGTTACAGAGACAGGATGAGTACACTCAAACTTGTGCTAATCTAGAAACATGGAGGTTTTGTTGTGATCTGCATGGCAACCCCGTTCCCCTCCAGTAGCAGAATGGATGCGTGGCCACAAAGGCGTGGCCTGCAGGCTGTGAGTATATCAACAATTGTATTCCAGTATGAGCTGTAAAAAGATCATTTTCACAAAGAATTCGGACAAATTAAAAAAAAAAAAATACAGGTTCTTATTATATATTAATAGACGCATTTGCTAAATTAATGTTTAATATGAAAAAATACTGTGATTTTTAGAATTAAATTGGCTACACAAACTCTCTTATTTCCGTTTATAAGCTGAAGACAGGAAATTGCAAGTGTAATTAAGTTATAGATTAGCTCTAAACACTTTATCTATTTAACCTAATCATCCACCATAATCTGTTCGCAAGCTTCAGTTAGTCGTGAATTCTCATGTAATACAAAGTTTTGGAGGCTTTTTTATCTTTGAGGTCTTCTCTCAGATGAACCTGCGGTCAGTGTTTACGGCTGAACAGCAGAGGATCCTGGAACGTTACTATGAGAATGGGATGACCAATCAGAGCAAGGCTTGCTTCCAGCTGATACTGCAGTGTGCTCAGGAGGCCAAACTGGACTTCAGCGTGGTCCGGGTAAATGCGCTTGTGCGTTTCTTATAAAGGATGCCCATGTAATGCTGGGGCCAGTAATTGAGACAGTGAGTCTAGTCTCTTCCCAGTGAGTCCTTCATTTTAATGCAGAGTCATGAATTATTATCTTCACTTTGCTGAATTAGTCCCTCTAGTGTTTTGCAGAATGTTTTTTTAAGTGATGTCACTGAGCTGATTGCTCTTTTCTCCGCAGACATGGGTTGGCAACAAAAGGCGTAAGCTGGCCTCCAAAGTAGAACAGAACGGAGGCGTGTCTCATTCCTTGTCCAGTCACGGACTCGCTGGGGGACTACTCTCCAATCACACATTAGCTGGAGGTGCTCTGTCCAATCATAGCCTGGCGGCAGGGGCGCTGCTCCCTGCTGAAATGGCTGCAGCGCGGAACCTCCAGAATCGCGTGCACCTTCTCCCTCCATCCTCGTCCTTCCCTTCTTTCTCGTCGACATCCTCGTCTCCTTCCTCTTCTTCTCCCCTCAGCAGCGGAAGCAACAACAACAACAACAACAATGACGTCATACTGACCGGGATCTACTCTCTAAACTCCGTCCCTCGCTCGCGACCAAGACCCACAGCCCCCCCGTCTCAGTCAGACTCGGAGATTTCTGCACACACATCCTCATCTCTGATCAACCAGGCCCTGCAGAGCAGGAGCAACTCCGCCTCCTCACCCCTCCACTCCAAGCTGGTCTCACTGTCTCAAAACCTCCCATCCCTCACATCAGCCTCAGGGCCTTTAGTCTACACTGCAGTCAGGAAGGGAACTTCATCCCTAGGGGAGGCAGGGGTAAGTGCAGGAGCAGGGGTGGTACCTCACAGCTGGACTAGGCAGTATGGTACAGCGCAAACTCGCCCTTGGTCCTCTTCCTCACAGTCCCAGACTCAGCTTCAGCCCAGACCTCACTCCAACCCTCAACCTCAACCACCTGCCCCTCAGAAGACTCGGGTCTCCCTCCCAGTACAAAACTCTGGTCCCTCCTCTGAGCAGACACCTCGTATCCAGCAGGTCTTCACCTTGTCAGAGAGAGACGAGGGCGACAGACTTAAGCCAAGTCAAGTGTCTACCCGGAAAGGCCAAGAGAGTCATAGGCCAGCGCCCCATCCTCTGGACACCAGTCATAACTTCTCCATCGCCATGGAAACTGGAGATGAAGAAGATGAGTGGCAAAGGGAAGAGGAGTTGGCAAATATGGCTGCTCGGACACACATTCACAGGGAGCAGGCGCCAGTCAGCCCAACCAGGGCTGAAGTGTCTGTGGTGAGAAGAAGCCACACGCCCCCTACAACTAGCTCCAGATCCACACTCCTCCACAGCAACACAACTCTTCAGGGCAGCTACTCCCTCACAGCACAGACCTCACTTACAGTGGAATCCAGCTCACAGGTAGGAGAGGTTTGTGTTGTTGCTGCTTCCCATCAAAGTGAGTTGAAAGACTTAACCTGGATGTGTCTGTGTTTGTGTGCAGACTTCAATTGGTGTGTCTGCTGCCCCATGGGTTATCAGCAAC